GGCGTCCTGGAGACTAAGCACCACTCCTACACGAGTAGATTGAAGGGTGTCCAGTTATTTGGATCGTTCGACCAGAGGATCCTGTAATCTGCTCCTTTGAGGTTGTCCGGGTGAACTGTTCACCTCCCTTCCTTGCCACTGCAATTGGGTCTACTCTAGATTTACTTTCCAGCTGTACTCTCTCTGGTTGTTTTTTTACTCTTATCCAGTGGATAAGATATTCTGTAGATGCCGTAATGGCGGTGCTGTAATGCAATGCTTTCTCTGTGTTCAAAAAAAAAAAAAATTTCTACAGTCGGTATACATATTCCCTTCCCTCGATCTGATGTTCTTAGGTTCCATTGTGCGCAATGGGCCATAGCACCGACCGGACACCTACAGATTCGTCTTCTATCAAACCCTAGCTTGCTCGAGGTGTTTTTGGAGTGTTGGACATCAACATAGAGGGTAACTTATTGATCCTTATATTTTCATTTGTACTTTCAAGATTCTATTTATCGCTTCTCTCTATCATAGAAAAAAATCTTTAGAAATTGCAATTATTAAGGCATATATTTTGCACCATTTGTATAAGAAAAAGTTGATTCTAAATAGGAAGACGTCCTAGATCTACATTTGATATGGTATATGAAAATTTTTTATCATTTGATATTGTGAAATCTACATTTGATGTGGTATATGCTAGTGAACAAAGGAATAAAGGAAGTACTGCTGGAAAGTAAGTTATCTCAGTTCTCCAAATTCACTATAAAAAGTACTAGCTGAAGAGGAAAATGCATCGTCGCATTTTTATGATTGCAAGTATTGCCTTTATGAATCTGTAGGGGTTTAGGTCAAAGCTTATTGGCTTCTGTTTATTCTTTTTTTTTTTTTTTTTAGGTATTTGATAAAGTTGCTCTTCTTTTTGCATGATGCTGAGATAGGGATTTTGTTTTGGCTCTTCTTATAACAACATAAAATGATTCATCACACTGTGCTTAAATCTTAATATATTCCTTGTTGAGTCTCTGAAAAGTGAAAATCAACATGTTTAAAGAGGTTTTCCTAAAGCATGAACATGTTAAAGATGATTCCCAAGCAAATATTGGACCTCCTTTTTATTAATTTGTTTCTTTGGAGACAATAATATGTTTTTAGATGATGCCAAACAACCTAAACTTTCTATAGTTTTCTATAGTTTTCTTGACTTTCTAGTGAATTTGGCTTGGAAAAGGGAGATTGAGGAATTAAGATACAAGGTGGCCAATGTTTCTCCAACTTCTAATGTTGGTGCCCACAAACTGAAGGATGACTATCGTGGGAAGTCAAATAATGTGGCAGGATAGGTGAAATCTATTCATACTCTTACATTTCATATAAAATTATGGTCTGGTACTAAGTAATAGTTCATGTCTTTCCAGGTTGTCAAGTTGAAGAAGAAGTTAGATGTGTTATCTCAACTCTCCACTAAAAAGGTTAAAACTACGGATGCAACAAATAATTTTCAAGATGAGATTCAGGAATTAAAGGCACAAAAGGTGACTATTTCTGTTAGATAAAATATATTTATGAGGAATTGTAGTGTCCTTTTGTTGTTTTCACAATTATTGGAGTTTTGGGTTATACAGGTTCAGCTTCAATGCAGAATGAAGCTAGAGTCCATGCAGTTTAGGTTATGTAAGGCTTCACTGGAAAAAGAAATTCTTTAGGTACTTAAAAGTTTAATGACTGCAAGTTCTATCTTTACTTTGCGTCTCTATAAGGCATCCTATTGCACAGAGTATTCTCTTTCTTTTTAATATATATATATATATATAAATATATATAACAATATATATTAACCATGCAAGGCTGGATTTGATCTTTGAGATTTATAAGATTCCCATTATTTGCTAATTAGCCTTTTTATTTCCCAATTTACCTATATTTTCCCATTCAATTGTAAACACTCTCATTTATGTATTTCAGTAAAGTTAACCAAATATTTCAAGAGGAATAACCATTATGAAATATCAATTTTCAGTACTTGGAGGTACTCACCTTGTTTAATACAATTTTTTTTCTCCTCAATAGCTTAAGAAAGAGCAAAGAAGGAATGGATACAAGATGCATGTCCTTTTAGCTTTGAACCAGAGGCAAAAGCATGTATGTCATGTCTTTTTAAGATACTATATTCCATCTTCCAATTACATTTTTCTTGGTAAATAAGTTTCAAAGAACTATTTTCTAGTCTTCTGGTAAATAAGTTGCAAAATAGTTGGTTAGTGTATAAACTACCTTCCTTAAACCTTTGTTTTGTCTAATTATGATATATTTTGCCTCTTGCAAAATAGCTAGTTAGTGTATAAACTACTCTCTTTAAACTCTTGTTTTGTTTAATTATGATACTTGATTCATCTTCTGTTGAAATCTTAAGTAGGAACTAAAAATGACCAGACTGTCAGAATTCAAGTATGAATTATCAAACTGGAAGCAATGGTTTGTTCTTATAATATTTTTCTTCCTTTTCTCTCTTTATCTTACTTTCTCATTTGGGAAGAGGGGGGAGTTTTGGGGGGGCGGTGGGTTGTGGGTAGCATGTGATAGTGATCATAGCTAATTAGCTACATCTAGCAAGCTTAATGTGATTCTAGCATTTTCTATATATTATATCTCTCATACAATAACACTTTTGCAGGGTCATAAGCATGGGCTTGATGTGAAAGTACAGCCGCCTAAAGTAGGCACTGAATATGAACATCAAATGTGAGAGTGAGTACTAAACTTCCTATAGTAGTAGTCTTCTTTGTGGTTCTCCATTTGGATTAACTTCCATTCTCTTTTTAAATTAATTTGGCTTTAGTTTTTACCTTGAATCATCTGTTATCTGCTATGTCACAACCCTTGATTGAACACGATTAAATGAGTTTAAGCCTTCAATAAGATAAAATGCCTAGGTCCATTACAAATCTTGAATCTTGCTTGATTTATGCTTTACGTTGTTAATTTGCAGTTTGTCAAGGATTTGCATGCT